TCGATATTTCTGTACGTCCCTATAAGCTAAGAGTTCAATGCCGTAGAATAACGGTACAAGGAGGGAAAATCACAGAAATGAGGAGGAGGGTCTCTCATATATTACCTACTTCAATTGTCAATTTTCTCCAGATACCGAACATCATCGATACCGCACGATCTACGACGATTACTTCTTTGATCTGATTGGACGGTTCAATGACGGTTGGTTGCGTATTTTAATGTATCCTGAATGCTAACGGCCATTGTTCACGAAGGCGTAGCTTCATAGACGCGTATTCGTCACTATACACACAACCAAACTTATATGGAATCATCTATTATTTTTCATAATTTTTGAGACGTATGATAAGTTTGTGTTTAACCCTCCGCCAGGCGTGTAGTTTAAAATCACACGACCAGGCGCGTGACGGTATTCCTTGCCGCATTTATATTTTTTAAGTATTCTGTAATTTAAAATATTTTATTGTCAAATTTAGCATAAGAAACAATAACAATCAACATTTTTAATACATATCTACTTTATTAACATATAAAAAAACTTAAACGTATTATCAAAAAAAGGAACCGATGGAAACATTTTTAGTATTCAAAATAAAAAAAAAATATATAACTTTGCCAACTCACAAAAACTAAATCATACCGAACATATTATAATAAAATAAACCAAATGGAACCTTTTAAATATTCAAAAAAATATTTTTAACCACTAGAAGAAGATAAAACTATCATCTAAATGTTTAATCTTCTTCTGTGTTAATGGTCTTCTATAAGTAGATATCTACCGTCTATCACTGTAGTTTTTGCGAATAAATTTGTTGCATTAGTTGCAAAAACTAGTAGTTTTATGGGTTTCGCATACATGGTAGGGACCAACTCGCTTCGTATTGTCTCTAACTGCTACCTTTACCTCTGGAGCATATTTAGCGAGGAAAACTTGAAAATCTCTGGGAAGAGTTTGTATACTGGCTCTTTCCGTCATTACTACATGTTATAAACATATATTTAACAGATTATTATAAACGCAATCGAAAAAATTAATTAACAATTTAGAATTACACTTACATATCCGGGCGTGTAGCGACACGAAGTACCGCAATTTCTGTAGTTGCCAGGTTTACCACAGAATTGCTACTAAACCAAAATCGCTGGATACGCAACTACTACGACCCAGGTTGTCAAATATCCATAAGTAAGAATAATTAAGGGTACAAAATTGCAGTACAAAATTCCGGACGCGCCCGCTCAAGGGTTAAGAATAAAACTCAATCTTTACGGAAGACTTTTAATGAAAAATAATCCATATAGCAATAGAAAAAAAATTAATCAGTTTCCAAAATAAACACAATGGTATTTTTCTCGTTTCTGAAACGAAATGAGATTTAAATTTTTAATGGTCAAAAAGCAAAAACAAAAAGAAAATTGATAATTTTAATGATCCGTGTTGCCACCTCTAGCCCTTATGCCTTATGCTTCTATCCGCACTGACATGCTTCTTATTAAATTATGAACGTTGTCTTTTTTGGGGTACGTTTTCTCATTCTGCTAATGCTGCATCAATAAGCTGTGCGAGATTTCCTGGATTGTTTCGACGAGCTCTAACCCTTCTTTTGATCTGGTCCCACAAGCGTTCGATAGGGTTTTCCCCGGCCCCACAATTTCCCTTTTAAGACATTCTCTAGATACTCTGCTGGTATGGGGTATGGGGAGATGCATTATCGTGCATGAAGTTAAAATTATCCCCAATTGGAGCTCTCCAAAGCCTAACGATTGGTTCTAGCACTAAATCAACATACCTCTGACCTGTTAAAGTTTGTTCAAGTGGTAACAATGGAGTTTTTGCTCCCAGCATAATACCTCCCCAGAACATTACCTTGTTCCTCCTTTATATTTTGGCAACCTGGAGCCTCGCTACTAATTGCCAGGCAATTTTTTAAATAAAAGGCTGCTTATTTCCTGGTCCTAAACTTGCAAACGCCATTTCATACATAACATAAGGACGCAAATCTATCACTCTATGGGAAATATTTTTCACCTTTTTGATAAGTTATAAAATAACCAAGATGCGAAGAGGTTCGAAAAATGCAAAATTTTCAAAGTCGTCCTGTACGAGTGTTTCAGGAACTAAGAGGGCTAGAACAAATCTGTGTGTAGCATCTCGTCGGTGAAATGTGATAAACTGCGAACTCCATTATTCCTAATTTTACAGGAGAGCAAAAAAACGGTACAAAAAAATATGTACACGTGGAGCATTTTGGACTTAATGAATATGAATATAATTTAAAAATTAAACTTATAATTCTTAGAAGATATGGTAGAATCCTTCCATGCTTATCCTATTTTTTTACAACGGTAGTAGACCGAGCTTGGAAAACAGTGCGGTCATTACAGTATGAAAACAGCGTTTCTACTTATTTTTTTAATTTTTATAAAGATTATGTATCATTTACGTGGAAAAACGTTGAAAAAAATAAAACTGATTAGGTATTATGGAAATTCTAGTACAAGTAAGTAATGTTATTTAAACTATTTATAGGACGCCGATGAATTGCTCATATATAGAGAATTTCGTTTTTCTCCTTACCCTTTACGGATACCCCGTATTAATATAACGGATCGACGCAGAGTCGGACAGTCGCGTCGGACTGGCCATATTATATCTATACTAATATATAAAATCCTTAAGTGACTGACATACTGATTAATCACGATCCTGCTCAAACCACTCAACGTAAGAAGCTCAATTTTGGCATACAGGTTGATTCTAGGGTGTAGAGGTTCGATAAGAAGGGATTTTTCGAAATTCCAGTTCCAAGAGGGTGAAACCACCCCTCAAATATTACAATATTTTTTATTTAAAAAACGGTAGTTTCCGAAAAAACGCTTAAACACGTATATTTTATTTTGTTATTTTACATATTTTAAGATTTTTTAAAAATGTATACAGGGTGTTTCGAAAAATCTGGTCATAGATTAATCACGATCCTGCTTAAAGCGCTTGACGTAAAAAGCTGATTTTTGGAAAACAGATTGACTTTGGGGTGTAGAGGTTCGATAAGAAGGGATGTTTCGAAACTCGAATTCTAAGGGGGTGAAACTAATCCCTCAAATATTAAAATACTTTTTATTTAAAGACCGGTGAGTTTTTCGGAAAAACTCTTATACACGTATATTTTATTTTGCTGTTTTAAATATTTTAAGATTTTTTATAAATTTATACAGGGTGTTTCATAAAATATGACCATTGAGTAATCACGATTCTGCTTAAACTGCTTGACGTTTAAAGCTGATTTTGGCAAACGGATTGACTGTGGGGTGTAGAGATTCGATAAGGAGGGAATCTCAAATGCCAAGAGGGTGAAAACGCCCCTCAAATATTACAATATTTGTTATTTAAAAAACGGTTAGTCTTTTGGGAATACGCTTGGACAAGCATAATTTATTTGGTTTTTTTACATATTTTGAAATTTTTTAAAAAATCATACAGGGTGTTCCAAAAAGTTGGGTAATTTCTTAACCACGATTCTGCTTAAACTGCTTGACGTAAAAAGCTTATTTTTGGCAAACGGAAAGTCAAATTCCAACGAGATGAAACTACCCCTCAAATATGACCAAGTTATATAATAATATCGCCATATTGTTTTTTGTCATGCTGACACAAATGTGAGAAAATTTTATCCAGTTTGTATGTTAATGGAAATTCTTGCTTTGCTTTATCATCACCATTACAAATGATTAATTCGACGCGAACGAAGTCGCTGGTACACGCTAGTATATAATATAACTATTAGGGGGCCCCAGCCTTCGCGGGCCCCCTTTATATTTCATTAGGTATTTATTCAACAATATTTGCATTGCATTATGGCATTTGCATTGCATTGGTTTACCTTGCATTCGGGTAGTTCAGTGATTTCTATACAGGGTGAGTCTTAAATAAGTGCAAATATGTTCAGGGCTGGTAAATCTCGATAAAAGAAACATCATATTTTCTCTTTACCGTTATTTCAAATAAATCCAAAACAACCGAGTGATTTCACTTTTAAAATTTCCAATTTTTTGCTAAAATTTTGAGAATCACTGGATTTTCTTTCTTGTAAATTTAATCTACTACCTATGTTGCCATATTGCAAACAAAGTATGTTTTTAAACTAAAAATTAAAAAAAAAATCCAAAATTGTTTTTGAAAAAATTCCAAATTTTCAAAACAAAAAATTCGCGCAAAAAAACTCATAATCGTGTTTCTTGGGTCGAAATATACTACCCCTAAAAATATTTGCACTTATTTAAGACTCACTCTGTATATAATAGGGAAAAATTGACTAAAACGTAAGGCGAAAAATACGCAAAAAAATCCACACGGGCCCCTCCTTACATTGCCACCCGGGCCTCTTTGGCCTAGTGCGACCCTGGCTCGATGTACTGTACTAAAGAAACATACGAGTAAGGATCCGTGTGTTTGCTTTAGAGTGATCGTAAAGGAAATTACGGAGATAGCAGAATTTCGGTGGCTATTTCAGATCACTGGGAGTTAACAGATATTATTGAGTTAAAATAGCAAATTTTCTTTAATGGGAAAATTTATTTGCTTTCCCTACTTATAGAGTATTTTTTCTCTTTCTAATGGTATAAAAAACTTATTAACGCAAAAAATGGAGTTAGCAGGTTGTCACGTTTCACTGACGATCTTTAGTTTTATAAAATAGTAGCATATTGATTGTGAAAACCGCATATTTGTATATCTATTCATAACCCGTAAAACACACGAAAATGGGTCACCCTGTACTATAGAAAATAAGTATCAATCTTTTCATCGACATTATTTTATTACATATATTGCATATATTTCTAATTATTAATTAAATATAGATCAAGTAGAGGTGCAGTTTGTAATAATACTTAGAATTATACCGTGTTGGTTTGTGCTTATACCAAGCGCTTCATCTTCTAAGCAGTTAACAATCATTTCAAATAATGTCACTAATTTGAATAAATTATTTATAGCCTACAGGATCGCCGTACCACACCATACCACCTGCAGATATAGTAGCTGATGGCTGGCTTCCCTTTCCAAAAAACACACGTTCCACTTCGCTAGATAACCTCAAAGTATTAATTGTCCCTCCAAAACCACTGAAGACTCCTTACGTTGCCGTGTATGAATATTATAAAATGGCGTACGCCGAGACTCTGCAAAGATGGAAGTTGCCGTATAAAAGAGCCGAGGTAAATTATTGATTTACAAAGTATTTTAGTATTTTTCATTTGAATATGAAAATAAAAGGAAATAAAAAAATTGTGCGAAAAAAAATTAGAGAGAAATATAAAACCGTATACTCTAGCTTTATAATTTTATGTTTTTTTTTAATTTTTATTCAAAAACGATAATTCTATCACTCGGCTGGATAGCCCCTCTGACTACTACTAACTGCTACTAACCAACAATTTGTTTTGTGTGGTCTGTTTTTGTTTAAATGTTTTATTCATTATTCATGTTGAGGATTTATTTTTAAATTAATGTTAATCGTTAGGCAACCAGAATTTCTTTTGCATAATAAAAATTGTCACTCTAAATTTTACATAACCAAATTGTCACTATAAATCGCTGTCTTTTTTTAGACAGATGTCACTGGTCTTGTCATTACTCAATTCTTTGTCAGAATAAAAGTTTCATCCATAGACAAAGAAATAAAAAGAGACTGGCAAATTAAATGGCAAAGAGAGGGACAACGTTCCCGTAGCGCAACTCAGAACGCAAAATTTCGTTCTATTTATGTTGATCTGCGCATTGCGTCTATTGGGCCCACTATCTCATTCTACTATAACAAGAGAGATTATTAATTAATAAATTAGAATATTAATTAGAACAATCGCCTTTCGTTTTCGTCGTCTTGACAACCAAGATGACAACATCATGACAATTCGTCATGTTTGTTAATTTTTCTTTTGGTGATTTACCTTTTTTTCTAAACTCTCCATTTTATTGACTTATGAATATGGGTAGGGAACAAATTCCTTTGTTCCATATAGGTATTTATATTTTATTACTTATAATTTTAGGTTATACTATTTGTTATTTTGTTTGCTGCAGGAGCCAGTATCATCTATTTTCTATATGTATTGGTGCCCCCTTTCTGTGATAGATATGTTAAAGACACTCGGTAAAATAAAAGTAAGTAGTTGAAAATGGTTCAGGATCATGATTCTCGTAAAGTATTCTTTGCTTGGATATTCACTTTGTTATTGGAATTAGGCAGTTTTTTCGAAAATGAGATTTTTAATGTCCTTTAAAAAAATTGGCTGATCGTTTCCTGCAACAGTCAGTTCTTCTGCATTTAAAATTGGTAGGTGGGTGGAATAAACACTGTTATTTTTTGTTATTATATTATAAAAAGTTTATTTATTTTTATGTATAAATAAATATGTTTATAAAACAGTACAATTTTTGCTTTTTTTATAATTTCCCTTATAATAGTAGTATTCTTTCGTTCTGAAAGAAACTGCAAATTTTTACTTAAACTGATTTATTCCCTACACCATGATTTTTGTTCCCTTTACGTGGTATAGGGAATAAATCAGTTTAAGTGAAAATTTTCAGTTTCAGAATGAAAGAATACTACTAATAATGGCTAATTTAAATTTTCCGCCAGCCAGAATGTGCGATAATGTCTTACGATACGTTTTATATCTATCTCTTTCTTTTTCATATAAAGCACACATAATAAAGAAAGATAGCAATAAAGACGTACGTCCTGCCATGGTCCTGCTAATTGGTTTCAAAATTGTTATTCTGAGTTGCGCTACGGGAACGCGGTCCCACTCTTTACCATGGGATTTGTCAGTCTCTTTTTATTTGTTTGTCTATGGTTTCATCTTAAAATAAAATTTTAATCGGTCACAATTGTTTATCTCCATAATTTACCGGAGTAATAATACAGAAATTACAGTTCAGTTACGACAAACAATTCCTTATTTATAGTGATTTACAGTAAGTTTATTAAATAATACGAATATTCTCGTTGATTATTGGTTTGAAATAAATATGACAGTGTCCTCCAATGAAAATGCGAGTTACTAACTCTAAATTGTAATTCTGAGCTGGCAAATAAGCTAGATACCGTCTAAAGAAGTTTCACTTCAAAAATATCATTGGTTCTATTTATCAATCTAGTGATGGGCATTACGGTTGTCTTTAGGCGGTGATAGCAAAAGATAAAGTTCCATAGTAAGTGTATTTTTTTTTGGAAAATGGATTAAACTTCCAACGTTAACTTTATTGTATTATGATTTTCGGTAAGCGAGAAACTTTTTTATTTGAAGGAATTTTTACATAGTATCTGCCTATGAAATAAAGTAACAATATTGAAAAAGTTTTTAAAACTTGGTACAATCTTCTATTGCTAATACTTTTCTAGTTATCCTAAATTAAATTTACGAATAGGCCGCGCGCGAGACCGCTCGGGCCTCGCCGCCCCGAGGTTCTTCAGTTTTATTTGGTGGCACGGCGGCGGCGCGGCGGACGCGAAGTTCCGTAAGCCTATTTCTGATTATGAGCATTGTACAGGGTGGTCGAAATTGGTCTGTTTTAACAGAGAAAACCTATTTCCTGACTAGATACAGTAAAACCGATATACATGCCATGGGCTCGATTTCTGAGACACGTTTAATGGCGTAAACCGCCTGTTGATATTTTCACTGCCAACTGAGATGCGGGGTATTTTTGAATTTTTTACAATTTTGTAAATTGCTCAAAACTTTTTTATTTTGCGGAATAATAAAATTGTGTAAAAACATACTTAAGGCACTTTTTTAAGCACAATCCAGTGGCGTAGTCAGTTTTTTTCTCTGCTTGCTCTTTTTGTCACAAATAATGAAAAATATAATTTTTTAAATGGAAATCATAGTGGTCTATGAACTTAAAAAAATGCTGACGTTTAACCCTTTTCAACGATATAAAGTTAGGGGTATCTATTTCTAAGAATGAGAGAAATATTAGGTTTTTTAACTTTATATCGAAGCGGGCCTTGATTTTGTGTTGACCTACATATGTGCCTAATTATTTTTTATCACAACTTAATATTCAATATTATTATTTATCTGCATAATTATAGACTTTTGGAAAGGTAAATTAACATGCTATATTAGTATTCGTAATTACAATTGAACTCAATACAATAAACAAAGAACAAGACTAAAAAAAACGTATTTTTTGTGTGGCGAATATAGTTTTCTAAAGAAAATCATCAAAGATGTTCAAACTGAGCACCTCCTTGTTGAATACACAATAAACAACTTTTCCGCACAGAGTTACAACGATTTATTAGGCGAACTAGAGTAATAAGTCCAAAAGCTTTCCTAGTTGCTTTCTGCAACTCTTTTCTCGTCCCAGTGGTTCTTCCCTTATAGATAAGGTCTTTTAATTTCCCCCATACAAAAGTTGAAAGGAGTTAAATTACAGAACCTAGCAGGCCTAGATATGGGGGCCAAGATATTGTGCTATTTGTTCCAATCCAATTCTCTCTAAATTGTCCATTTAATAGTGCAGTTGTAACCCTCGCCTTTTAATTGTAAATGGTAATATACTAATATAGAATGTTGATTTACCTTTTCAAAAGTCTTTAATTATGCAGATAAATAATAATATACAATATTAAATTGTGATAAAAAATAATTAGATTCATTAGATCAACACAAAATCAAGACCCGCTTCGACACAAAGATAAAAAACACGTAATATTTCTCTCATTTTTAGAAATAAATACACATAACTTTATATCGTTAAAAAGCGTTAAGCGCCAGCATTTTTTTAAGTTCATAGCCAACTACGATTTCCATTTAAAAAATTATATTTTTCATTATTTCTGACAAAAAAAGCAAGTATAGAAAAAAATTCACAGTCCTTTACAAAGATGCAACCGGGGGGGCATTGAAAATGATGAATAAAAACGTAAAAATATGATTAGTGTTAATATGAGTGTATTACATACATATGTTTAAATAACGAACTTAACAAAAAACAACAGATTTAAAGATTCACTGAAAAAGTAGTAATGTTAAGATTAAACAAAACATTATCAATAATAATTATGCGATCGCACCTATCCGTAAAACAAGCAAGCAAAGGAACCTCGAAAAAAACAAAATAACATACAAAACATCAGGTTAACATGATGACAGATCATGATCAATGACAGATAAAGAATTCTTACGGAAAGTTACACTTTACGATATAATTTTTTAACTGTTAAAGGCAAACCCCATTTAAGCACAAAACTTTAATACCTACTACTGTATCTAAAAGACTTTTTTTTTAAATTACTAAATTCTTAGCCACGCTTCTGTTTTTCTTGGCTGTTGTGCGTCACGTCACAGATTAACAGGCCCACGTTTGCACCACAAGGCGATGCTGCAGACCACTAGGTAGACCGGTCGTAGAAATTTATGTTATACAACTTGTAGTCAATCTACGCAAATATTATCAAAAACTTTTTTTCTTTTAAAATGTGTTCAGATTTTGTAAAACGTATAAGCCAAAATCGCAAAACTTAAATTTGATATGAGTTTCTTAGTTTTTAACTAATATAGTGGCGAATTACAAAAATTCCTTTTCAATGAAAATTAATGAGTTAAATAAAATAATTTAATAAATTACTAGCTTTTTCTCGCGACTACGTTCGCGTTACACCTCCAATCGTTCATGCATTGATTTAAATGATTTTTTACTTCTTTATAGAGAGCTAGTGAGCATATAGATGTTTTTTATTTTTCATCTTTTTTTTATTTATTAAGAGCACTAATACTCTCTTTATAGGTTATTTTTATTCTTTGAAGGATAATTGAGGAAGATATATTTCGTTATGATGTCACTAAATAAACCCTTGTATAAAATTTTATACTGTCTGGTTTATAATGTTATAGTATTGCATTTTCGTACAGCAAACTTTCTTTCCCTATTCTACTCCCTAAGGGTATAAATTTCATAAATTCGCTTTACCTTTGTGCCAATTTTTATGTGTATAATCCAGAGGTCACCAAGTTTTATATAAATTTTTACTAACTTTACCCATTTGGTTGATGAATTTCAAAAATTTCTTCTAATTCTTTTTGTAGGATTTCATTCTTCTAGACCAAATAGTAAGGAATTTTCATACAACAAACTGTTCCGAGATAATTTTACTCTCTAAGAGGATGAATTTCCTAAAATCGCTTTGTGTAGCTAATTCACT